GTGTGTTTCAGAAGACTGTAAATTCTGCAGTTCTCAAGTGTAATGTTCTATAAATGTCTATGAGATCAATTGTGTTAATTAAAATTATTCACTATGATTATGCGGTTGCCTTTTTTTTGTAATGTGTTATTGTTAATAATGCATTACGTATTTGAAGCTGTGTTATTAGATGGATACAAACTAGAATTGTTATATCTTCTTTGTGAGTTCAAAGTTTTATTATTTTAAAGTCCATCCATATTTTTATTAGTTTGTATGATAAAATCAATTTTGTCTAATATAGATTTACCACCATTTGGAGGATAATATTTGCATATATTTTATCACCCTTCTACTTTCAAATATTTTGCTTCCTTGCTTTTATATATGTCTTTAATAAATAAGAGTTGGATTTTGTCTTTTTAATCAAGTTTGACAACCACAATATTTTAATTAGAGCATAAGTCCATTTATATTAATTGTATAGTTGTGTTTAATTTTACTATCTTATTATCTACCTTCTATTTGCTTTAGCTGTTTTATGCATTCTTTCTCTCTTTTCTTACCTTCTTTTGACTTCATAAAAAGTTTATTCAATTTTTGTCCTTCATTAGCTTGGAAGTACTCTTTTATTCTTTTCTTGCTAGATACCCTAAAGATTCAACATGAATACTATACTTATGAACCTCAGTTATTGAAGGTCACTTTCACCTTCTTTCTATACAATGAAAGGAACACAGAAAGCTTGAAATTCATTTATTGCCCAAAATCATATGCTATTTTAGCTTATTTTAATTTTCTCTATATTTCAAATCCATAAAAAAATTATTAACAGTATTTTATGCCATCAGCATATGCTTAGATTTAACTAGTTAAATTTGTCTGAAACAAAATACATTTATTCTTGAAACAGATTGGGATACTATCTTAGCAGTTGTTTCCTTTCACCATATGGAAGCAACCATTCTGTTGTTTCCTATATTCCATTGTTTCTGATGAGAACTCAGTTGTAACTCTGGTCAATCTTATTCACCTTATTTAAATAAACTTGTATGGTTTGATGATGGCCTTTTCTGCAATTCACTATCATTCATCTAAATGGAGATTAATCTTTATTATTTTTCTTAATTGGGCATTTTGAACTTGTGGATTGATTATATTACTCAGTTTGGGAAAATTATGAGAAAATATCTCTTTAAATATACCCTCTGTTCCATTTTTCTGCAGTTTTATTCCAGAATTCTAAGACAATGTATTATACCATCTCATTGCCTATCCTATGCATCTCTTAACTGTTGGTCTATATTGTCTATTCTTTGGTACCCATTTGCTTCAGTCTAGAAATTTACTTTTCACCTACTTTTTAGTTCACTTGCTCACTCTCTCTTTACCCATTTCTAATTTTCTGTTAAACCCAATTAATGGAAGTCAATTATTTTACTTTTTAGGGTAAGAATAATTTCATTAATTTCATCAAATATAATTGATCAAATTTATACTCACTAATTTTCTGTTAAATGTTTCGGTCTTATCTTCTACCTTTTTGAAAATATTAATAGCAAAACTACAATTACTTTTGCACCAACTTAATAATAAGCACTTTTTTATAGCCAGTGTATAATAATCCCAATATCTGGAGGCCTATGGGTCTTGTCTATTTACTGTTGTTTCTGCTTTTTCTCATTCATGCTGTCTTGCGTCAAGTGTGCCTGGCTATCTTGGATGCTAAACATTTATTTTAAACTGTTTTTGTAAAATTAGTTTGACACTGAATTATATGAATTTCCTACAAAGAAGGCTATTGTTTGCTTCTGTCAGATAACTAGGAGCTCTAACAATTCAGAATCTACTTAAACAAAAACTCAGTAAATGTGATTTTGGCGGAGGCAACTCAGATAACTAGAAGCTTCCTGCCGACCATAAGAAGGCTGGTTTGTTCAGCTTTACCCATGATTCTGTAATGTCCTTTGGAGTTCCAGACAAGAATAACAGATGAGATGTTTTGCAAACCCAATATGAAGGTTTCAAAAGCATCTATCTTTTGGATATTGGACTCATAATTTTCCCCAATATCTCAACAAGAATGTATGCCAGAATTATGTAATCCACAAATTTGAAAGGCCACATGGCTTTTTGAACACTCACAACTGAGTAAAAATGAGGATTATTGGCAAGCAGAAGATGTGGTCATTGTCTAGTATTCAAGGAAAAGGCAGTTCACCAGGTATGTGCTGAGTCCACGCATATCATTCAGAAATTCCTCAGGACAGGTACATATGCAGCATCAAAAATCTATGTTTCTTATTTGTGATAGTCATAAAGATCAATCCAATGTTCCAACTATGTGGCCTCTAGTGGCAGGTTAGATCACCTATCAGATGATTTGCATCATCAAAAGATGTTGAGAATATAAGAAAATCCAAGACAGTTCATTAGGATAAGTAAAAAATACAAACAAAAATAATAAGAAGTATGAGGAACTAAGTCAAAAGGCCATAGGCAGAATTGAAGTTAGTGTTGTGGGAAGTCAGGGACCCCAAATGGAGGGACCGGCTGGAGCCGTGGCAGAGGAACATAAATTGTGAAGATTTCAGGGACATTTATCAGTTTCCAAATAATACTTTTATAATTTCTCATGCCTGTCTTTACTTTAATCACTTAATCCTGTTATCTTCATAAGTTGAGGATATACGTCACCTCAGGACCACTGTGATCATTGTGTTAACTGTATAAATTGATTGTAAAACATGTGTGTTTGAACAATATGAAATCAGTGCACCTTGAAAAAGAACAGAATAACAGTGACTTTTAGGGAACAAGGGAAGACAACCATAAGGTCTGACTGCCTGTGGGGTTGGGCAAAAAGAGTCATATTTTTCTTCTTGCAGAGAGCCTATAAACGGATGTGCAAGTAGGAGAGATATTGCTAAATTCTTTTCTTAGCAAAGAATATTAATACTCTGGTAAAGGAATGCATTCCTGGGGGGAGGTCTATAAACGGCCACTCTGGGAATGTCTGTCTTATGTGGTTGAGATAAGGACTGAGATATGCCCTCGTCTCCTGCAGTACTCTCAGGCTTACTAAGGTGGGGAAAAACTCCTTCCTGGTAATTTGTGGTCAGACCAGTTCTCTGCTCTCAAATCCTGTTTTCTGTTGTTTAAGATGTTTATCAAGAAAATACATGCTCTGCTGAACACAGAAACTTATCAGTAGTTCTGCTTTTTGCCCTTTGAAGCATGTGATCTTTGTACCTACTCCCTGTTCTTATACTCTTTCCTCCTTTTTTTTTGAGATGGAGTCTTGCTCTGTTGCCCAGGCTGCAGTGCAGTGGTGCAATCTCGGCTCACTGCAAGCTCCGCCTCCCGGGTCCACACCATTCTCCTGCCGAAGCCTCCTAAGTAGCTGGGTCTACAGGCGCCTGCCACCACGCCTGGCTAATTTTTTGCATTTTTAGTAGAGATGGGGTTTCACCGTGTTAGCCAGGATGGTCTCAATCTCCTGACCTTGTGATCTGCCTGCTTCCACCTCCCAAAGTGCTGGGATTACAGGTGTGAGCCACCGCACCCAGCCTCTTTCCCCTTTTTAAAACCCTTAATAAAAACTTGCTGGTTTGAGGTTCAGGCGGGCATTATAGTCCTACCAACATGTGATGTCACCCCCGGCAGACCAGCTGTAAAATTCCTCTCGTTATACTGTCTCTCTTTATTTCTCAGCTGGCCAACACTTATGGAAAATAGAAAGAACCTACATTGAAATATTGGGGGTGGGTTCCCCCAATAAGTTAGAGTTTCAGAAAAAATTCAGACAAGAGATTACAGATTAATTGGCCAATAGGTGTATTGTATGTGGATGTGCCAAGCTGATATAAAGAGTTAGAGATAATAAAGACATGAGAGGTTTGGATAACACTACAACCATGACTCCTTTGGTTTTGACTGCTTATAGAAGTAGGTGAACATAGATTCTAAATAAGGAGAAGAATTGTTACCACTGGAGTCTCAATCTATTGACATGTAGTCATGGGGGTTGAAAAAATTGCATCTATGACATTTGCGTATTTCACACACACACACACACACACACACACACACACACACACCCTAGTATGGTAGTATAGATTACCACAAGATTAATTCAGAGGAGCAATCTTAGTGTCACTGCCCTTGTCTCTATCTGAGCACCATATCCTCTCCTGATTCAGTTTATAAGAATAATATACTGGTTAAGTGCATCATCTGGAATCAAAACATATGATTTCAAATTCTGACTCTGCCACTTACTGACCTTACAACCTTTATTCTGGCTTCCTCAAATGTAAAGGGAATGATAGTTGTTATCTATCTAATGGAAATTTGGTAGGATTCACTAATTAATTCATACAAGCACTCAAAACACTGCCTAACGTATAGGAAGTGCTCAATAAATATTAGTATCAACAAATTCAAATCAGGAAAGGCATGAGGACAGTCTGTTTCTTAAAAGTGTCTGTTCAATTGTACTCTGGCCAAAAATTCAATACCCTGTTAGAGATTTTCAGCTACGATAATTTTAAAACAACAGAAAAATTATTTCCTTACATTTAAGGAAGACTATTCTTTATTTTTGGCTGAAATGCTGTGTTCAGTTCTAGTTGATGTATATCACAGCAAGAAAATAAGTGGGGAGAATGGTAACCTAAATACATCAGGAATGTTAAACATGGGGGGAAATGTGATCAAATCAATAAAACTGTCAACAGCATGAACAGAATGAACTCTTAGTTATTTATTTCAGTGTTTTAGGATGACATGACACATCTTGAAACCTGAAGGAGGCAAACTGAAGTCAAAGAATGCCATTTGACAATGCAGGAAATCACTAACCCTAAGAAATATTACTTGGGAAATATTATCATACTATAATTACAGATTTAAAATCATTTTATCCATGATGTTTTTTCTTCTTATGCTTTCCCCTTGCCCAGGGTCTACATTTTCCTTTTCATTTTCAAATAATTAGGTAATAAATCCTGATTTGTTACCATGGGAGTTAGAATGGATGACATCCACAAACTTTGCATCAGTGTAATCCAATCTTCTATATGGTGGTTTTCTGGAGAACTTTGGCCCAGCAGGGTCAAGACCTGGAAAGCAAGAAAGAAACTACCAGTCTAATCAAGTCTACAAAGCTCCTCACATTGCATACTTCCATTATGACTACATTATAAACATAAAAAGCATTTATACTTTTAGTTTAAACCTATCCAAAAACATATCTAAGAACAAATGAAAGTGGATGAATAGCAGGTAACTTCATTATTTGAATAATAATACGAACCTTCAGAACTTTTCAGGTTAAGCCACAACAAAATATTGTAGGATTTTTTGGAGAATTTTTATGTGAGACTGAATTAGGAGTAATACAGTAGTTTACATTTAATAATAACTACAACTATTTCTCCTGAAGGAAAAAAATAATGAATACCATCTGGTTCTCTCTTGAACTCTGTACCTTACTAGCTCACTCTGGATTTATCTGTAGACAGACCTGAAAAGCTTTTTCAGGTGCCAAATATAATTTGGGCTATGGGATAAACCATGTTATCTTATCCATTTCTCATAAGACTTTCTCACACACTCTTAAGAAAAGGAAAATATATTTTAAATTCTGTGGAGTGTGAATATTATTTCTGGGGTATCCTAATTTCTAAATAAAAATTCTAGGAACTGTCAAAAAGTGGAGAGAGAAGATAAAATTCAGTTTCTTGAGAACATCTATACAATGAAGAAACAATCATCTTAAAAAGATATTTGAAAGTAAAATATAATGTTTTTCATTTCAAACACCTCTATTATCCCCATTTTATTTAACCCACTTGACTGAATGAGACAGAATCATCTATCTTCCTATAAATTATTCTGATGTAGAACTTCCATGTTTGGTGGCCTTTTAGTCCCTGATGATTGCCCGGTAATTGGGGCCATTCAAACTAGACTAATATGTGTAAACACAATTTAAGTACAAATTGAGCAAGTGTGGTTTTTGAAATAGAATGGGCTTTAAGCACTAGGGAACTTTGTATAAATAAATCCTGGCTAAACTGCTACTTCTTGACCCTCCTACATTCATTCAGTTAATTTGTTTTCACACGTTTGTTAACATTAAAACTAATCAGAGTAAGGATATGCTTAAGGTTTGCAAAGGTAACTATCTATGTTATTCACCTCTCTCCTCCTTCTTTGAAACTTAACTAAAGACACTATTTTCTTTTATCAACACTTAAAGTTATTATAAGTCTTTTATGGCCATATATATGAATAATTGCTTTTTTTTTTCCCAAAATAAAAAAGGTAAATTGGTTGAAAGGAATATTATCCTCCTATTCCTAAAATCACTACCACTCATAGAGGAAAGAATGAAAATCCATGTCAGCCTTATTAGATGACCGAGTTTTCTGGATGCAGTAATTTTGTTATAGAAATATGAAGGGGGACCCAGAGCCCCTCAAATTGGATACAACTCCTGATTCCTTTGTAGCATTCAAGTAAAAATTTTTAGAGAGTTGAAATGCATCAGTTTGTGATAACTAAGTAAATAGTTATATTCTTAGCTAATACATAAAGTATTTTTGTTCAATGGGTCACATTTACTTCTGTATTCTTAGGATAGTATGTCCTTAAAATTTAGCTGGGACTACAGAAATAGGTATTTTTCTCCCATTTCCATTTGGGTAACTTAAGCTCTGTTGAGAGCTTAACAAAACTTCAGAGTCTAACTAAAACAAAGCCAATATTTAAATATAACATAGAAAATAACAAATGTTTGTACATAATTTCTATTGAGTAATTATTGTACCCACTAAATTTTAAGTGGCTGGGCACAGTGGCTCACGCCTGTAATCCAAGCACTTTGGAAGGCCGAGGTGGGCAGATTTCTTGAGGTCAGGAGATCGAGACCAGTCTGGCCAACATGGTGAAACACTGTCTCTATTAAGAAAAACAAAAATTAGCTGGTGTGGTAGCAGGTGCCTTTAATCCCAGCTACTCGGGAGGCTGAGGCAGGCGAATCACTTGAGCCCAGAAGGCAGAGGTTGCAGTGAGCCAAGATTGTACCACTGCACTCCAGCCTGGGCAACAGAGTGAGACTCTGTCTCAAAA